ATCTGCCCTGATGCTGCAGCCACGCTTCATACATTACCTTAATATTCTTTGTATATGAGGAAAGAGAGGGGGCGGCTAATTAAAATTTAATAGAAGGCGCACCATGGAGGCGTGCGCACACACACACACACACACACACACACACACACAGATTACTTAAGCAGTGCTCTTATAGATGAAACCTGCCGAGGATGGAGGTGGAAATAAGTTTCAAAATCAGTGAAACAAGTGTGAAGGAGGTGTAGGAGGAGGACGTGGAGGAGAATTTAGAGGAAAGGGCAACAGAGACAATTCTCCACAGTCAAGCTGTACCTTTAGATACGGTGTGTGTGTGTGTGTGTGTGTGTCTGCGTGTGTGTTTCTTAGCCTTTTTCGAGCCACGGCACAATTTTATATCAGGAAAATCACACAACAGAAAAAAAGAAACTAAAATAACCTTTTAGATTCAGTTCATTCAAGGTTTACACACCTGGGCCTGTTTAGTTGAACACAACACTGATAGACTCACAGGGATTAAAGAAAGACACACAAAGATCTCCTAGAGTTCTCTCTCTCTCTCTCTCTCTCTCTCTCTCTCTCTCTCTTTCGTTTGTTTTTAGCCTTGTGGTGCCACCTGGTGGAAGAGTGTGTTTTCCTGGTTTTGTTATCACAAAAGAAGGTTGTTAAAGAAGTTCTGCTGTGGAGACACTTTGTCCTTGTAGGGCTTTTTTTTTATTTTTTGTTGTGTATACATTTTCCTTACAGGAACATATTTACATAAAGTTGTCGTGGATACATTTTTAGTAACATTTCTAACACACTTATTTCGGTATGAAACACTACCTTGTTTTGGTAACATTTTGTCCTTGTAGGGACTTTTGTTTATGTGTATGTTTCACTGTAGGCTCTCTCTCTCTCTCACTCTCTCTCTCTCTCTCTCTCTCTCTCTCCCCCTCTCAGAGATTTTAATCTTATTAACAGCCTTTCCCAGTTTGGCAAATGGCTTTCCAACTTCCCGTGTAATGAAGTGTTTGAAAGTGATTTCAGCAAACACTCACAAACATCACTCAAATAAATGGATAAAAAAGGCCTCGC